GTGATCGGAAGGTGGAGCTCCATTTTCGGATCCACTAGAGCGTGGACGAAAACAGAACCTATTTCCGTCTGATTATCTTGGCAATAGGTGAGTTAGCCTTCGTGTTTCTTTATGTTTTATATATCATTTTGTAATTCGTAAAATTCTCTATCGAATGGTATATAATAGTTGGGGTTTTGTTTGAGTATGATAGGAAAAGTTTTTTTACGAAAGCGGGGATGGGTCGATTTTCGCATAGGAAGCCATGGGAAAAAATGAGTATTTTTGAAATAACTCAGGAACGGCTCGGCCAATCATGCTCATCTTCGAACTCGACCGAGACATTGTTAAGACTGAACTGTGTATAAAATTTCATCGCGATTGAACTCTTCTTTCAAAAGTTATCGTGTAAACGGCCGGACGGACACACTGACCAATTCTAGAGTGTACTCACTTTTCGAGTACACGACAATTATTTCATTAAACAAGTTTTTATCTAACATCCATAAGATGCACACTGACAGTTTTGTTATTCTGCAATTCGGCAATTTTACTTTTTCATGGTTTGCGTAAAACCACCATCAACAGTGAACTATCATCGTCTTCACTGATTGTTCTCAACGAAATGGCAAACTATGTATTCAAATAAGCTTTTGTATTCACTCGAATACACTGTTATGATGACTAACGTTAATGTCATTTAATTGTCAATGCTCCGTGATCGTCAGGTAAGTTATCAGAAAAAACAAAAAAGTTCTCGCTGATAAATTGATTTGAATCAATCCGTTTTACATGATCTTCAAACTACCTAGTTGAATCACATATGAACAACAATGATATACATTATGTTGAATGATCTCTAGTCAAAAATCGCACCGCATATATCTGATCAAAGTATACAATTCAGAAACTATGTTCAACTTACCTGACATCAATATGAGCATTATTTTGTATTTAAAAAAAAACCGTTGTCCTTATTGTCAGAAAACAATTAATAGTATGTCGCAGCTAGCTTTTCGAGCAAAAAGCATCCATTTTACATATAGATAAGTTATGAGAAGTAACGCATGATGACAGCAATGCCGTTTGATAGGAGTCGACTTCGATGATGAGCGAGGTTCACAGCAGATGCACTTGCATGACAATGCATGATATATGCGAGCACTGACTCAACTAGAGGCAGAATCTGTCGTTAAACACAATATAATCTCTACATTTGATGACTTGTGTGATTAATCATTACAAGATCACTATAAAGTGATGACGAAACAATAACGACTTACTCTTCTTGAATGACATGGATTTTTACTATATCTTTTTTCTTTAGTTCGAACTAAAAAAAGATTAAGTAGGAAAATTACTTTTTCTCGTTCAACAGCCCGTTTGAGGATGCAGTCGAATGGTTTTTTTGTATCAGGAATAATTATCGTCGTCTTCGCTTATTTATTTCTGACTGAATTCATCACTACATAGCTAATGTCTTCTCGCTTGTTATTTGTATCGCACTGATGGTTTTTTCCTCTCTCTGTGCTTCTAGTAGTCATGTGTAATTACACGTATTTGTACATTGTTTGATCATTCGATAGACTCATAGGCTTTGTTATGCTTTATATCCATCAAGTACAAAAGGCAAAACGTGGTGTTTTACATGCAGTTTTACGTTTAATGCACATAAAATCCGAGTTCAAATGATGATGATTCACGCTATTTTCTGTCAAATAGAAGTCATATTCACTTCAATGAGTAGTACATCACTTCTTACGTTGTTGTTTTTCTTTTCTTTTGCTGATGTTTCAAGACTTCTTTTTTTCTTGTTAAGCTATGAAACTCTGTTGACACAGAGAGAGAGAGAGAAAATGTTGTTTTCATTTTTAAGTTTTCTTTTCCTCACTTGGATGGCGTTGTTTTAAAACATTTAGTTTCTCAGCGAAACACCGTTGTTTATCTTGGAGAAAAATAATTTTTCTCACGTGTGTATTTTTTTCTAAAGTACCGCGCTTCACAGTATTTGTCAAAAATATTAACGCAATGTTCACATTGTCAAGAACTTGTCTAACCTTCGTATTCATGACTCTTCTTTTACAAGGAAACCATTTGAACAGCGAGTGTTCAATCCAAAAATTTAGGACAAATATATTACGCTTGATGATAAAAGTCAATGACTAAGGTTCTCAAACAGAGCATGCTGCTCTCTGATTAGAAAAACTGCATGATTAATCTATTTTCTGTGATTTTGTCAAACAATCATTGCAACATTTGACGTATTTCAATCATATGATAACATTCATGGTTGAGCCAGCTACAAAATTGAAATTCTAGTTCAGTCGTTAGTATTAACTGTCGCCAAACAAATCATTCTCGTAATAGAGTAGTAATGGGTGAGCCATTGCATACTAGTCAACGAAATCCTGTTCTCATAAGGATAAATTAGACACAAACTTAACAAAAGAAGCCACATTATTAGACCATATATGAGCCTATCTCAGTAAAGAATTCAGAGTCGTGAAACTTTGCAAACGTTTTCATTGTTGAGTAAATTTAGATATTTCGAAATCCTGCTAGTAGAATAACTTTTGATAGTATTACTAGAAAGAAGAAAATACTGCTGCGAGTTTTTAAGGTCTACCCAGAAGGCCTAGAGAATGAAAAGATTCATACGAGAGATCTCAAAACGGTGAACTCGAGTACACTCACGCCCCTATATTTTTCTGAAGAAAACATTAGATTTTTTGAGTATAGCATAAATTTTGCTCTACTAATTGAGTTGTCTTGCAATGGAAAGTTTCAGCATTTTTCATTCAGCCGTTCTCAAGAATCCTCGGAATGGAGAGAGTGTTATTAATCTGTGTCATCTGTTAAATGTTCTAGTGTGACCGATGTGTGTTCAAAAAGATGACTTATACCTTTTCAATATGTACTATCACGCATAGTTTTGTAAGTGGACTATTGTCTAACTATGCACTAAGAGTGTCAATGTAATTACTTTTCGTTAATATACAATAGCTTCGAATGTCATGCTCTATTTTGACATATCAGCTATCCTCTAATATAATAGTCATCCAATAGAGGCAAAAGTTGAAATTCATCTCGATCGTATAATGCCATTTCCTGCAGTTATCATTTGCAGTGGAAATTCATGTTGATTCAATAAGATAAATGAATCACTGGTTAACTACTTCTATCAACTATATCCACCCAATACAACATTCAATCAAAATAAAACCTAAGAAATACAATACATTGAATTCCAGCTGAGTGACATGTTACTTTCATGTACATATAATAACATCGATTACTCAAATGTATTTATCTCTTTTTTGGTGTTCGCTCTCGATAATCGTTATATGTTCAATTGGAAGACAGCATTGATATTGTTTACACTCGCCGATTTTGGTAGGAGGTTTTTTTTATTGAAAGAAGGTCTCACTATAACATTTTGTATACCACATTAACTCTATTTTCCCAGTACCTTTTTTCGGTGCAGATCTCATCTTATTTTTACACGATAATAAAGAACTCTTAACACTCAACAAAGATAGTCTATATGTCCAACTCGGTTTATCCCATTTGATTACCTATCGTAGAAGTGAAACAGCATTTCGACGATCTTCTTATATTACATATATATCTGATGTTGGTAATGGTTTACGTACTATCTGTGAGACAACACTTATGAACTATAAGACATCGACTGATATGACCTATTAAGAATCAATATGTTTCGAATTATCTTTTCACAATGTTCATGTATTTTCCCTTTTNTCGGATCTTCAACATTGCTATTGTCAAAAACTTGTTTCAGCAACGTCTTATAGGACTTGAAAAACACAGTTTTTAGTTTTCTGGAAATCTTTCGACTGTGACTCCCTCATGAAACTCTGCTGTAGAGTGCAATAGATAGGAAACTTCATTGCCTTTCAGAATCACTATTTGGATTTGAGCTAGCTATCTAGCATCGTAGAAAAAAATCAAAAATAAAGTGTTCTTATATTTTTGTCCAGTACTGTATATACATAGGCCATTTCCGGTAGAACGTGACATATCCACTTTTCATTTTGACTTTGATGTTTTTACAAATGTTTAAGTTATTTTAGCATAGATATATGTAAAACTGTTGGCTTTTTCTTCGGATTATCGATTAAAAAGCATGTCCATCTAATACTTCGGAATAGATTCTACAGCGTGAATTACATCTATGGTGAAATTTTCAGCAGGATCGGTCTCCAAAACTTTTCTCTTAACAATTAGTTTTATAGAAATTGTGAAGAAAAATTTATATCGTTTGGAATTCCTTTTGAACTTCTCATTCGGTTATAAGAGCATTTGTTTATGCTTTGTCGCGTTGTTAACGATATATAAATATTATTTCTTGGAAAGTTTATTATTTCGAAGTCCATGCGTTATAATTTTGCGAAGTCACGTCGTGAACGAAGGATTTGGTCAATATATTAGTTTCTTAAAATTATTTCTTGCGAATTCTAGGTATTGTTGGGAAACTTGTTGTCTCAGAGATCCTATCCTTAAAACATTAATAACTATTTTTATCTTCAAAAATTCTTACTGGAAATAAAATTTTCTATCACTTATAAACAATCATTTTCTTGATAATAGTAATTTAATTAGCCGAAACATCGAAAAGAAACATCTACTAAATTAATAAAATTTGATGTTTTTTGTTAATCTTAACGATTAAGAATGATTTTTTCACATTGCTGTCATTTCTATTTATCATCTATTCAATGATATTTTATTCTCATCATATTGAAGAGTATTCTATCAAATAATTAACTATTCGTTTGTTTAGAATAAAGAACAAGCTTTTATATATGCATTAACAAAAGATTTACCAACATTTGTTTATGAATTTCTTAAATTGGGTATTGATCCAAGTGAAATATTTTTTCCAAACGATGAATTCTTTACTGGACGAGTTCGATATAAAACATTTATTCAATCATTATACAAAAATGAAGCAGTGGTATGTTATATCTTTAGATACAACGAAAATATATTTCATTGTCATGTCTTTACAGAATAGTAGTACAACTCATTTAAGTTGGTTTATTGAATCGGATTCTGATCTTACTGAAACACATATTCATACAATTGATGATCTTAATACTGTTCTTAGTAAACTTATTGGTGATTATATGAATAAACTATATTTTAATAATGAGAAATATGAGAATAGATATCGATCATTATGGGGTTTAGACGAGCTGAATACCGAACAAAATCAAATGAATGTTCAAATTATTGGATCTCAAGAAAATCTCATAGATAAAGATAATAGACAAATAAGTCAAGATTATATAATGCGAGATTTATTTTTATGGTCAATACTTATGAATCATATTGATATGGCTAAAGTTCTTTTATGTTATGTTAAATATCGTATATGTGCTGCATTAATTGCAACAAAAATTTTAAAAGAATATTATTCAATAGCAACACATGGTGAATTAAAAGATAGTTATATGAAAAATGCTAATTATTTTCAACAATATGCTATTGATTGTATAACACAATGTGAAAAAAATAATTCAGATCAAGCATGTCAAATTGTTTTACAACGTATTGAACTTTATGGAAATGTTACTTGTCTTCAAGTATAAAATTAACATGTTGTTCTTTTTGAATGAATGATTAGTTTTTTTTTTTTTTTTTTTTTAATTGAAAAGGTTGCTTCTGATGCAAAAGATAAATTATTTATTGCAACATCATGTTGTGTTCAAGCTATGAATAATATTTGGTATGATAAAATTTATCCGGAACAATCAAGAAAACGAAATGGAATTTCTATGGCTATTGGCTTTTTTTCACTTGGTCTTTTGGCTCCATTTGTGGTCAATTATCGAAGTGGTGCAGGGGTTAGAATTTATTGTTATTTAAATCTATACATAGGAATTTTTACAGAGAAAATAATCTAATAGTAAGGATAATGAGATTAGTTGTATCATCCATTAGTTTGGGATTTGAGTATAAAAAAATATTTTAAGCTCCCCCCCTCCCCCCTAAAAAAAAGTGTGAAATCTGATCTTTCAGAAACAGCATGTTCTTTTTTCCCAAAATTTATGATGATTTCAATTGAAAAATAAGCATTTTCAGATAAAATAGAAATTTTTTTCACTTTTCTCAGTTGATGCTTTTTCAATTGTGCATCCCAAATTTTTCTGTCTAGGCTTATCCTATATATTAAAGTTTTTTGTCTGTTTAGAAGAGCATGTCAAGATGCAGAGTATGACGAAGTTCTTTTTTAAATTAAAAAAGGCGCTTCTACAATTAGAGTGCCATTTTCAGAGTTTTTTCTGTAATTCCTGACATACTCTTTCAAATATGATGATATCGAGCTGAAAATTTTACCATATGAAGTTTACTCTACAAGTCTAAATAACATTAGATTTCAATTATACTACTAAAACTAATTTCGTTTTATATGACAAAATAATATAAAGTTGAATAAAAAACATATTGTCAACAATTCCTAACATATAAAAGACTCATTATTTAATCATAGTAACTGATTGATACAATTTCTCAGATTGAAACTATTAAAGAATCTATACATATGATGTTTAGTGTGTGTGTGTTTCTCTGCACCCAGTCAAAGGTCAAATAAGACTCTAAGGGAGAGATCTCCAGGGGCTATTTTATGGGGTATTTATAGGTCCTCAAGGGCTATCCTATTAGAGTATCCATAGGTCCTTAAGGGCTATCCTATGGGTTACTCATAGGTCCTCAAGGGCTATCCTAGCGAGGCACTGATAGGCCATCAAGGGCTATTATATTGTGATACCCATAGGCCCTGAAGGGACTAAGGCAATAGGGAGATAAGCCTGCAAGGAATATAAGACCAAAGGCTACATGGACTATAAAAATATGTGCGATATGAGAGTATGAGATTGTAGAGCTATCTATCTATATACATAATATCGAGTGTTTGTATGTATTTTACCGGATGAAAAGTTAAATGTCTGAGGCCATGCGTTAAAGGAGAAAACAGTCGTGCAGTATGCATGCGTTCTTGCTAGTAATTAATAATCTGCCCCTGTGATTCAAACCAACAACCAACTGACGGTATATCGTCGGTAGTGCGAACGAATGTGAAATAAGAGGAGATATGAAAGGTTTGCACCAAATTTAACAAATAAAAAATTTTCAATCAATTAATAAATATCTTGTTTTTATTAGGGACCCAAAGATGAACCTCTTAATCAATCGTATGTAACTTTAAAAGAAAATCTAATAATAAATTTTAATCGAAATTGTTTTATGTTTAGTTTACAATCCTATGGTATAAATTATTCTGATCCATATCCACTTGAATATCCTCGTTATACAAAAATACTACCGATTAATCAATATATGTATGGAGTGAAAAATTTTCATGAAGCTTTACGAATGAAATATTGGTATCATTGTGTATGTAACAAAAATCAAAGAATTCAAAGAAAATTTTTTGTATTGAATAATATCAACGAAAATTTATTTTAGATAACTTATTGTTTTTTTCTTTTACTTTTTTCTTATACACTTTTATTTAATTTTGAACGGCCAACAAATGAAATTCCATCAATTCATTGGACTGAAATTGTAACAATTATTCTTGTTTCGTGTATGTTATTTGAAGAAATTCATTATGTAAATATTAATATGTAATTAAATATTAGAGAAAAAAACAAACTTATTTTCTTTTTGTATTTTAGTTCTCCAGCCTAGATAATTTGTCTTTTCCAGGAAAATTTATTAGTTATTTTCGTAATTTATTTAAAATTATGACTATTCTTGGATTTGTTCTATTCTATATTGGATTAGTTCTAAGATTTACACATGCAAATACAGATGATCAATTTACAGCAGCTAGGTAAGATTTTCTCTAACAAACGAAATATTATTAATACAAATCGTATAAACTAAATTCTATACATATAACGGGGTGGTGCGAAAGTTTCTAGACAATATGCTTGTATCAAAATTTTCGAGTATGGACTAATCATTTTTTTTTCTGTTTTTACTCGAGAGTAATGAGAAAACTTTTGAAAAGTCTGAAATTTTTTTTTCATAACATTTCGTATTTTTACAATTGAGGTTTACAACTAAACGCTGAAATATATTGTTCATATAATCAACTTGTAGAGCAAACTCTGCTGTATAAAATATATTAATTGAGTTTCATTTTTGTCTTTCCACAGAACACCTATACTGTCGTTTTCATATCATCTTCAATTTTGAAAAATCGAGGTTTTGATGAAAGACTGTAACTGCAATAGATAATAAATTTTTGATTCTCAAACATTGAATTAATTTTAAAATCTCTTATAATCATAAACAAATTTAATTTAATTGTATTTCTTTAGGGTGGTAATGGCTATTGATCTAGAAATTTGGTGGCTTCGTTCTCTATCATTTATTATTGTTGTACGATTTCTCGGACCACATATTGTAGCCATTGGAAAAATGGTATTCATAATCTTTTTTTGTTTTTATTTCAATAAAAACAAATCTTTGTTGTTGTTTTTTTTCTCCTAGCTTAAAGATCTTGCATTCTTTATGTGTATCATTTTTATTGTTATGGCTGGTTATGGTACTGCTTCTCGTTCAATGACTTATTATCCAAATGCTAATAAATTAAATCTAACTGATTTCAGCACTGAATTTGATGGCCGAAGTATTCTTCGTCAAATTGCATATCCTGTTTATTATTTAATGTATGGAGAATTTGGTGATGAATTATCTACTCTTGATGGTAAGTAAATAATTTAGGTATATGAGGCGATTTATCGGTTCTCAACGAAAATGTGTCATTTTTCTATCTGAGAATAAGTTGAGCTTTATGAAGAGTTTTGATCAGCTTAATTGAATAGAATATTTCATTTGAATTTTTAATTGAGATGAGTGTAAACAAGATTTTTCTGCTATAAAAGCGTAATTAACAACATTTATCGATTTTTGTTTGATACATCTAGTCAATGTGAACAAATAGTCTTCTCTTGTAACTATCCTTGCAATAACATTAAATACATATTATAATATAGGAGATAAATAGACTAATGAGCGAACCTTGTCATATGATAAATCGCTATTAATATAAGTTTCACATCATTATATAGACCTCAGCAACAAAACGTCATATGTTTCCTTCGATAGTGTGGGCAAAAGCGCAACATGGGAAGATATCGATTTTAGGTTTTCACGTATATAAGGGATGCCAGAACTCTCTTTGCTACATGTTCTATTCCGAAAGAATGAGAATGCGTCCAAAAATGTATTTTCTAGCATTTTCTTTTATGTGAAACTGTGATAAATTCCGCGTTCTTAGGAATGAAAGACTAAAAGTGAAAACCCTATAATATATATCATCGTATAATTTGTTTGTTTTTTAATAGAAAATAATAGTGCTGCTTGGTCAATTTCAACACATGTATTACTTGCTGTTCATATGCTTTTTGTGAATATTTTACTTACTAATTTGCTTATTGCAATGTTTAGGTAAGTATTATTTAAGATAGATAACTATAAGAATCAATTTATATTTAAAAGTAAACGATTTGATCAAGTATATGAAGATACACAAAATATTTGGCATTCTCAACAATATTTATTTACACGTGAATATTATACACGTTCACCATTTTTCCCACCTATAAGTCTTATATATGATATGTATCATCTATGTCGTGTAACATTCTTTCATATAAGACGAGTTTGTTTTAAAAAATCAGCAGATCGTCGAGCGAAAGTATTTAGTAAGTTAATTTTTTCGATCATTTTAAATTTAAAATATTTCTTATAGAAATGATTCCCATAAATAAAAGTTGTATTAAAGATTGGTATGAATTTGAAGGTGCATCAACATATGAATATGCTCATACAGAAGCCAAACTATCGAAAACTACATCAATGATGTAAGTTGAAGAGAAAAATAATATGAAAAAAATTTTTATTAAAGTTTTTTTTGTTTGATTTAGATCAACTCATGCTTCAGATGTTTATAGTAATGAAAAACGAGAAGATACAAGTGATAATATAAATGATTTAGATAATTCAAATAATAATCTACGACAAATACAAGATGATCTAGCAAAATTAAATCAATCATTTGAAGAAATTAAAAGACAATTAAAACAATTAATTGAAGTAAATTATTTATTTATTAATTTAAAATAAAAATAAAAAATATATTTTTTTAATTTTTAGAAATCATAATTCAAGTATAACATGATAATATTTAATCACAATAATCAAATGTGTTTTTTTTTTGTATTTGATGCAGACTTTTTGTTGAGCATATTTATGTTTCGAAAATTTACATAATATTGATAATAAAAATGAATTAATATGCAAAAAAATTTTTTTCGTATATAAACGAGAGAGTAAAAATTGGTTTGATCATGATTGAGCAATTTATTGTACTTGAGAATAAGTCACAGAAGTGAAAAGTGATATTATTTTACTAAAAGTATTCGTTTTTAATAAAAATTTATCTACAGATGATAGTGAATCATATGACGAAGTCACAGAATATATGGAAGAGAAAATGAATTATCAAAAACGGTAAACAGATATTATCATCATGGAAAAAGTATTCATCTATGTATTCATAAGAATGATATTTGGCATCAACAATGCGTTCTATTCCAGTGCCATCAAAAACAAGTGAATGCATGTATAGCGAAATTGATCGGATTTTAGTAGCAGAAGGACATCAAATGAATTGTGAATTATCTTGGTTTTTTGTTGTTGTTGCCTATGAAAGAAACTAAACAGTACACTTTTTCTTATAAAATAAAAGTTTGAAATCCGTACTATGGCTGTCAAAGTATCTACCGAATGTTGGAGGTGGTTCCTGAACATTGTGTAGAGTCTTCAATAAGCTACAAATTCGTTGATGAAGTGGATAAATACCACTATAGGACGTATTCTATTTGCAGAGACATTGGTAAAAAGATCTTGATTACCAATGTGAAAGCAACTTTTTTCATTCACTGTGTGCTCTTGATGATTCTATACTGTCGAATTTATGTCTCTGTCGAATGGTGTCCATTTCAATACAAATTTATTCCGGCGAAATCAGGAAGTTTTAGAGTATAGACTTCGTAAGGTGGAGCTTGTTTTAGGATTCTCTAACGATCTTAATTTATAGTATTTGTGTGTTCAAATGTTGCCGTTGTTTTTCCATTTCTTATTTGTTCTTCGAATGATGCATGATAATCGTGTAAATATCTACGTAGGTTTTCTCAGTCCTTCATCTGTGAAACCTCGTAAAACTCTCGCATGTTTCTTGCACGATATTTTCTATTGTGCAAGTGAAGAGAAAATGTGGATTCCGTCTTCGTATGTATTGATGTTTATATACCCGTAAGTAGAAGCTGATTGTTCGAATCATACGCCTTTCTCTCATTGTCTACGCTTATTTCTTCGTTCGTTTCTGTTCTTTTTGATGTGCTCTCTCTCTCTACCTTTCTATCTCTTTTTCTTACACTTGTCATTGCTTTTTGTTGTGTCGTTTATTCGATCGTTTCCCGTTAAATTTCAGTTTGTTCTGCTCGTTACTATAAAACCTTTCTGCAAGTGTTTTTGTTCTTGTACCAGTCGTTTTTGTCATTTCCCTGAGTCTTTTGGCAGCTGTTATATGCTTTTGGGACGAGTTTTCATTGTTATATAATTATTGTTCCTAGCCACTCATTGGCACTATTTTAATAAAAGTACTCGAAGAACAAAGCATAATTCATATGGAGAATCATCGGAGCTAAAAGCTATTTGTAATCATAGTGCATCATTATATACGTGTTTTTCAGTATGAGTTTACATCAACTTGTGAGTAATAATGATACATCCGTTGTATGTCATTCTCTCGATCTTGTCATGAGATATTTGAAGAAGTCTACTGTTTGTTGTTCCTAATATTAGACAAAGAGAATCCGTAGACGTTGTACATGGTTATTTACAAATGAAGAAGAAAAAAAAGAGAAAAGAAACATGTAACTGTTGAATGATTATTCGTCATATAACTTCAATGGATTTAATCAAGAGATGCACTAGTTTAAAGATGATAATCTTTGATTCTTTTATCAATGAAAATGTACAGCAAAAAGTGGACAATAATATATGTTTTAGAATAGAAAAACATATTTTATATTTTCTTTAACTATATCATAGAGTGTCAATATTCAAAGAAAATATATCCGCAAATTTGTTCAACTCTCTTTGAGTCTTATTTGATTTCTTTCAAATTTTAATTCTGATAAATTTCAACATCGCTCTCATAATAATAAAACCAAAAAGCAACAAAACCTATATAAATAAATTGCTGAATAGTTGGAATATCTTCATTTTTAGTAAACTGTCGTTATAATAATTCACTTGCACTTGTTGAAGAGAGTCTATAGCTGCTGCTTTATACTCTGATTCTAAGTAATTTGTCGATACAGGTAGTGTGTAAGTGTCAGTGACTTGATAGAAAATATCCAGCTGCATCCACACACCTGAGCAACTTGTGGTATCAATAATTAGGTCTATGATAACTATTCTATTTTCGTATCTTGGTGTTCCAAACAAGTTATTATTTTGTTATCAATTTTATTTTTTTAACAAAGTATTTATTTGGTCGTAATGCCAGAAAAATAATTTTAACTTAGAAAAAATACGTATGAGAAATGATATGTCTATCTCATAACATTTAAGATGTAGATGTTCGTTGACATTCAAGCATTGCATCTTGCATAGCAACGTGGAATGCTTTCAACACAAAATGGAATATTTTTTGCACACCAATCATTAGTACATTTTGAGCATGAATTGATTGATCTTGTCTGACAACTTGGACTTAATAATACGAAACAACATTTGCATGAGTCACCACTTGATACAGTCGTAATTATTCCAATTAACAAAACCAATAACACTAAACATATTTGCTGCTTCATTATTATGTCGTTTGAACTTTTCTTTTTTCACTAGTTTATCTTGAAAATGAGTTAGAAAACGAAATTTATATATCGATCACTATGAAAATATTCGTTATCTCTTATACATCTATGATAAACATGACTATAGCAAAAAAAAAATGCAATTCAATAAGGGGGTGATGAGAAAAGAATCACTTGACTTTATTACGCATACTTTACTTTGTAATTTTTAACTGAAAATCTGTTTGTTGAAATATAGTCAGAAGAAATTTATTAAACACAGAACAACAGTGAGTAATGGAAAATAGATACAACTGATTGCGTCTATCATATGAGGCTATCAAGAAAATCATTTTTGTTTTAATCAATGCTTAATATGTTAAAGCAAACCGTATTGAGAAAGCACAATCCATGTGGTTGGATTTTTTTGTAAAATTTTTTTATCAGCGAACAGAATTTTGCATTACTCAGCAAATAACTATTCGATAATATCCATTCGGCATACACAATGTTATTTTTCAAACAGAATAATGAATCGATGAGAAGCACGTCATTTGAAAATCTGATTCTATGTAGTTAAGTTGTGTAATGGGTGTAGATGTTTAAATAGTGTTGACGAACACCAACATTTACACCCCACATTCACACTTTTTCTAAGCTTGTTTTTCTATGAATCTAATTACCTAATGGGTTACACCTGTCAATAAACCCTAAAATGGTTGAGATTTAGTAGAGAACAGTAGAACATGAGCGCGTTGGTAGCAGAGGAGAAAACAGGAAGCGATGTACAGTAGCATCAACCAGTGTAGTCTAACATGAAATGGCGATATAGATTCACTTTTTCATGAATTTTTTGCAGAACTCACATATATGAGAATACAGAGTGTATGTTTCCAGTGAGGTCTTTCGATCTCTCTCAAAGTGCTCTATGAACAACATTTCTTTGCTCTTGCAGACCAGTCCTTGTTTAATGTAGAATATGACAATTTATGTATGTACCAGGTTTCAGATTCATCAGAAGCTGGGCTAATACACGTTTTATACAAAAAAGTATTATTTATTGCTAATCTATTTATAGATCTCTCTCTTTTTATTAAACTCACTAGTCAACAATATTGGCATGAATTTGAGTCGGCATTGATGTTTTTTTTGTTCGACCAAATTGACGCATACAAGCACAACGACTGTGCAATTCGTTTAGGTTCATCGATACTATATATGAGTATTGGTTTTCTCTAGGAAACTCAATTCTTTTGAATTCAGATATTATTATTGATCTTATTCAACATCAACACAGCTCCCAGCTACAAAATTCACTACAGAAATGTAGAAACTCATTAAAACTTCTTAACGATTTTTTACAGGTCAATGAGAGAGAGAGAGAGAGAGAGAAATTATCAATGCTATTTCTTGCTCGCACAAGAGACAGAAGACGATGTCATATAGTTGAACATGAAGGTTTTCCTTTGATTTAATAGATTGATTCAAATACGCGATGCAGGTATTGAGAATATAGTTACTTTAAATTCGTTGAATCCATGATAGCACTTCAATTCATCTGAACTTTTATACAAATGAACATTTCATATCAGATCGATTTGTATCTTCAAACAGTTTCCTAGTTAGTTATGATTTCAACTTCATTTTATTTCAGTTTACAGTTAAGGAAAAAAAAGAGTGATACATCAGACGCATGAATGTCACCACTTAACAATCTCTTCTCTATGTATGCACTTCTATCTTGTAGGATTTACTTCTGCGTTTATCCTTCGAAAATCATAACAGTAGATGTAGACAAGACAAAATCACTCGCATCAATCAACACAAATTCTTATCAATGAGAAATTTTTGCACACGATTATTCGCATTATCGACTACATAGAGATTTCGATCAAGATCGAATGACAAATCAGTAGGAAAAAAAAGTTGATCAGATTGAGAACCTTCACCACGACCACCAGCGATAACACTGCCGGATGTAGCTCCACGTGACCATCGCATTATTCGGTGATTTCTAGTATCAGCCACATAAATAGTCCCCAATTCATCGACAAAAATGCCTTCTGGTTCATTTAATTGGTGTGCGCCATCTCCAAAAGATCCGCCAGCAACAATCGTGACTTCTGCTGTTTTATCATCGACTTTTATTACTCGGTTATTACCTGTATCTCCTACGTAAACAGATCGATTTCGATCGACGAATAGCGAACGGGGACTCGAAAGATTTGAAGTAATCAGTTGTCCAACAGTCTCATTAACACGCCATTTTCTCACTTCGCTTTTTACCCAGTCAGATGTATACAATGATCTTTGATCATCTTGTGCTATGCCAATGGCAGAAATATTTCTAAGAATTGTTTCTCCATTTTGAGCACCTCGAACCCATCGCTGAATACGCTCGTTATTATAATCACTAATGTACATTGTTCCATCCTTATCAACAATAATATCGGATGGTTCATTGAATTGATCATTCTGGTCTCCTAATCCATTTCCACCGGCAACTAGTTGACCACTTGAAACGCCACAATCCCATTTGACTATTCGATAATTCAATGTATCTACCACATAAATACTTCCATTCTCATCAACAAAAAATCCAAAGGGATCATACAACTGACTGAGTGAAGATCCAATACCATTGCCACCAGCAACAGTCGTAGCATTTTGAGTCCATGTTGCATTTATGCAAATGCCATCACCAGGTCTCGATGGACCTAAATAAACGAATAGAACGAAATATTTAAAGGTTTTTAGTAAAACAATTCTATTTGATGTTGATCGAATTGAAATTCGATGTCATTTTATCACTATTCCAAAAGCTGGGATTGATCAATTTTTTGCAAATACTTGATCTTTATCAATATGAATAGTTTTTATCATATTAGATGATTGTTCTAGAGAAAGTGATAAAACTGAGAGTGAGCATTTTTGTACGATTTCTATGAAACAAGTTGAGAATATGATAGACATTTTATTACAAAATCTATTCCATGTTTCTAAAATTCTCATTCTACTGTAAAACCAAAGATTATAGAAATTGTTAGTTTTAATTTAGAGAGAATAGTTTTTTAATGATTGTCGTTCTGAGTTGTTCGACTGAATTATGCTATGAAAATGTAATAGTCACAAAAATCCCTCCTCCCCTCTCCCCCTCATAAGAAAATAACGTCGGAGCAATCTCCGACGAAAATTTGATGAAAATTCACTTTGAATTAATCGAGAATATGATTCTCGTAATAAAAATATCTGCCAAGTAATTAGCCTTAGTCTTCAGTTTGGTGTTTATAACTTCATTTAACTTTCATCGCTTCAGCTGAAAACTTGAGTCATGACTTCTCATGACTCTAGCAGTTAAGTATAAAATTTTGAGTGGCATAGCTCAAACTAGAGTTGAGATAGTGCCGTCAAAAGAGCTCATAACGACGCAGATCGCCAATCAATGAGATCTCGATATTATGCGGCGACCGTTTAACTTTGTAAATCAGGCATAGGGAGATGCAATTACATGTAGCACTAGAAAAAACTTAAATAAATTGCAATACAGTAGAACAACAAGTAAAAGTCTTCTAACGCCGCATTTTTGTTCGATTTTATTCGACTTATTCAAGAAACTGCCAACAGTGTTTATACTTATAAGGAGCTCTTATACAAAAGCCGTTTGAGTTTTGATCATGAGGAAACACCCCTTTTAGATCTCAGCAGTTCAATCAGGATATCTTTGTGGCTAACGCTTTAACGTAAACATCTTATAAATTGAAGGCATTGGTTCTGAACATAAAAACATCATTAAATAGGCGGAACGTTTTTCATTGAACAAATCGAATAAAAATGCGACGTTAGAATACTTTTCCTCTTTGTTTATAGTGTTGCGATTTATTTCAGTTTTTTCTAGTGCTAGATGCGACTTCCTATGTCTAGTTTGCAGAGTTAAAGAATCGCCGCGTAATATCGAGATTTCATTGATTGATAATGTGAATCATTATGGGCTCTTTTGATGATACTATCTCGACTCTAGTTTGAGCTGTGCTACTCAAAATTTTATTTCTAATCACTGAAGTACCGGTTGGAAGACGTTTTCATTACGAAGATCGTATCTCTATTAATTCAAAGTAAATTTTCACCAGGCTTTCGTCACAGATTTCTCCGACATTGGGATTCCGAATGAGACTTGATTACACATCAACCAGTTAAGATCCGATTGGTAAGTGCAATCAGAGATCAACCGCAAAGTGTTAAGATTTAAATATTCTTCATCGAGGGGTGGAACTTTTTGCGACTACTGTAAAAGTGAACATTGTTTCTTCGAAGAATTATTTTTAAAACTGATCATCTGTCTGGAGGATGATTACTAAATCCATCGTCAATATACGGCTTGTATGGGAAAACTAGAGTCATGATACTGTGTATATGATTAGGATAGAATATAAGAATGATGTTTCTATCCACGAAATTTTTTATAAGATTTAAAAGTCTATGGCACAGTTTGTAAAGTGAAAATTTGCTATATTGACTTATGTTATCTAATTTTTAAAAAAATAGTAAGTTTCTTCCATTATCAAACCATTTAAATCGATGAAACTATTAGATCAGAATTAAAAAATGTGATAAGTCGAGATTTTGACTCATGAATAAGTTCCACGAATAGCCATCAATAAAATTATGAATGGTTAATTATCAAAATGCGAAACAGAGTATACGGCTTCCAGTTAATGACACCGATTCGTTAGTTTGAACGATAAATGTGAAAAGTGCTCAAAGCCAAACAGTTTGGATTTTATGCATATCTAATTATATCCATATACTGAATTAACGACAGTTTTCTATCTTTTCAATGGTATAAACACTTTTAGTGCGAGCACTATATAGATATTCTCCGTGATACAACGGAATTTTAAATAAAGATTTCAGTTATCTATCAATCGATAGGCATTTCTTTGTTCTCTTACTTGTTTTCGGTGGACAAATTGCTTGATCCATCATTGACAATGGATAACAAACGGGATGAACAAAACATCGAGAATGATGAACGCAAATATGATTAGGCTGATAACAAATATGATTAAAAGATCCACATGACACAAGTTGAGAACAAGTCAACCAGAGAAAACCACAAATGCCACTTTCATTACTGGCTGTCATATGAAAACAGCCACATGCACTATTTCTCGAACATTGATCGTATCGAGAGGCCTTATGGCATGCTTGACTTCTAACTTGATCTATTTAAAATGAAATCGATTGTTTCACAAGTAAGAAGGATTGAGAATCAAACCTGTAAGACTAGAATTTAAAAAAAAACTCATGGAGCTATATACATGTACATGGATAAAAATAAGATATGTTTATTACCTGAAAAGAAGGAAAAGAAAGATGTGTATCATCATTGTGTTAAAATAAGTCTCTTATTCGAATCTTCTCCACCTTTTACAAAGAAAATGTGTTTAATGAAATTTTTCTCAAGATACTGCCAGTCGTTCTGTTGCGTTTGATCAAACCAAGAGATATATCTGTGAAGCACGTGGTCTGATAACATGTTCCATGCGTATTTCACTACAAACATTGACATCATATAAATATTCGCTTGTTCTCAGATATGTTTATCAATAGAAATTTTTTGCATTTTATTTTACACGTATATTTGATCTTCTACGTGTAGAAATCAATTCTAATCTCATACATAACAATATAACCAGAATAATTTCAATTGATAATAAGAATGTGGATCTGTGCATGTGAACTCGATTTGAGTCTAGGCATGTTAGTACGCAAGTGTGGAATGTGTGACTATGTCACTGTGGATGTATCACGATGTGATCGACAATTTGAAAAACAATGATGTAGCAAATAACGTCAAAACTGAATGTGAAAACGATGATGAGCTGATAAAAGTTTTCGAGATTTCAATGGCGTCATTTTTAATAATATCCATTGCAATGATGACTACACGTGATTTGAGATACTCGTTCTATGAATATGTCTCAGTCAATGTCTAGAAATAACTAAATCGAACAGCAAGCATAACAATATGAACATTAATCTAAAAATTGTTCGAGGTTCGATCATAAGTTTTCTCAATTTTATCTCAAAGCATTGCATTGTATTTTTCGTATTTTTTTTGCCGAAAATAAAATAGTGAAAAGATAAACACCAGAAATCGGAAAATACTGTGGAGTCGGAATGATCAATGATACTCGTTTCCTTTTACAGACTACATTTTAGTGCTGTTTAAAGGCATACTTGTTATTGAAAAATAAGACATGATAGAACTTTTCTAAACATACAATTAGAAGGAGTTTTCGACGTATATTTTGCACGAGTACTTTCGAATTTGTTTACACATGTTTTAGTCAATGAAAAAGAAGTCAACATTTGTGAAAAAAAACTTTTGCTTCACCCATTATTCCTATAAAAATGTTAAGAGAACTATAAATAATAAAGTTCTATTATACAATATTGATAGAAAAGCAGTTATGCAAACTAATAAACTACAATCTTCAAATTCTCTGACATTTTCAATGATTTAATAGATTTATTTGTCATTGAAAGAAGGATTTTTTTCTTCTATCCTATGTTATTTAACATTCTTTCTCATCTATCGAGAATAATCTTGGTGAATTTCTTAGCTTGAAAGGTCATTGTTTACATGATGTGAATGTTATTCATGCAAATATTGCAATATATTTTGTTTCAATGAATCTAGTGCAATTTAAAACTTCATATTTATATCCCTTTTGTATTTAAACTGGAAGAAATTGATAAAACTTTATAAGTTACCCAAAGCCATCATAATTTAATAAAAGAATTTTTAGATAAAAATATTGCATTGATGAATAGTTGGGTTTTATTTTAAGATTTCTATTAAACATAATGCTATGGAAATAAGACGATGTTCAAACTGATACATTCGTCTTGACAAAATAACCTGCATTTCTAGACTTTATCTATAGATAAAGATAACAAATTTAAAGAAGAGTAAATTTATTAAAAAATATTTCTAATGAACATATTGCACGTTATTTTAAAGATTTACTATTCAGAGCAGAATGACAATATCATGAAAAACTTTTTAAAAGAAAAGTAAAGGACAGTTATATACTTAAGTGAGTGCATGATCAAAATTTGTGTTTTTTTTATGATTGATGAGATATGTTTGCATTAATATTTATTGGTTTTTATTGAGAATGTTTATCTACTGTTTGAAATAAATTTTTCTTTAATAATAATCGTTGTAATTGTTGAATATAAACAATAATAAATTCAACTTATTCTACTGGTGTTAAATATTAATTTTTTGTAATAATACTCTCTTTTTTCTTTTGTTCAGCTTTCTGTCTGATGATTGTTAAGAAAACCGAAAAGAACAGAGACTATATAGATTATTTAATTTATTTTTATCTTTTGTTATTAGCCTATCTAGTTCTAGACGAAAAAATTCGGCGTTCATACATAAAATAAACATGCAGTTTTCATCATAAAAGCTGTGAAAATTTTCTTGTAATATAGAATATGCTTCTATCTGTGTTTGAGATATGGATGTAGATAGGCTGAAAAGAGAATTTATACCCACACCCACATATCTATGTGAAGTAGGTTAAGTATACCAAAACTAAACTTTGACCCTAAATTAAAGCATAATTGCTGCATACAGTTAAATTATCCTTATGGTTGTTTCAATTGAAATATACAAGAAAGACTTTCAAAATTAGAGTATATATTGTCTATTGCTGTGTTTCTTACAAAAAAAAAGAAATATTTGAAAATTTTTTGGTCGAAATGATAAATAGTTTCCATCCGGAACATTCCATGCTAGATTGTGTAGCTCTATTTTAATAATTCAAATAATAGAACTCAAATGATCAAATACAAAATATATGTAAGTAAAGTCGATTTGTTACTATTATAATCCTGTCAGAGTCATTTTTCGCTAATTATGAGCAAACTTGTAGCACCTATACGATGAATAGTTCGAAGTTGTGTGATTTTGTTGCTTCTGCTGTCTAGAAGTATATTGTATTGCAAATAGAGTGTGGTTATGTGTATGATTTGGATATGAATACAAACAAAATCTACAGCTCACACCCACAAAATACGAGTTATGATATTAGTTGAAGTATAATCAAATAGCATAGAAAAATAGAGCATTCTTTTCTCTATGAGAATATAACGGATAGCGCATAAAAAACGGTCCAATTTCATTTTCGTTTTTTGAGGAGCTAAAATATAATTGGAAGACTTTGTTTTTATACCATTTGATGGAGAATTTTTCGCTCTACAAAGCTGCCTACTTTGTTTTTTTTCAGTTAAGTTTTTCTTGTCGATGAAAAATCTAAAAGATGTACACTTACTCAATCGCTCAACTGCCATTTCTGATTTTCTGCAGACATCTATCGATTTTTGTAAGCCTTTACTCATCAAGTCCGATGCTAAAAGTAAAGTATTTGGCATGAATCGATAGGAAATTTTGTGGTATATTTGAAATTTTAGCGGAACCTTTATTTAAAATATTTGCTAAGTTTTTCAATCTTTTGACCGTCGCAGTTGGAAAATTAAGTAGATGTTCATATTTTAAATGTTTCGCCGACAAGAAAAACTTAATTAAAACAAACAAAGTCTTCTAACTATATTTTAGCTTCTCAAAAAACAAAAAATGAAATTGGACTGTTTTTTATACGCCATCCGTTATAGAGAGAAAGTTTCTTTAAGCTTTTTATAAGGAACTAAAGTACTACTCTCACTAATTTTGAACTGCCCTAAGTAGATTACCGAATAACGCAAATAAAGTATTTTTAACTCTCACTAATTTGGTATTCATTATATAATAAACCGTGACATCTCTCCTATCGTTGCACTCAGTGAACAGATATATCATCCAACAGACTTACTTTCCTTTTCTGTCGCCAACCATAATGGTTCGGTGTATATTCTGTGGAAGTTCCGAAAAATATTTGATTGAAATGCCAATTAAGAATGCTTGTTATCTCGTTACAATAACAGATCTGCTTCCATGGTATTATACAAAACGAATCAGTGTTTTGCGATACTCGAGTACGTGATTTGATTATTGTACCAGGTAGTGGCGGCAAGACAACATTGATTGATAGTCTAAAATCATCCAACATTCATTGTGCGGATATTGACGATTATTAGAATCAACAACAAGAGTAAGAGACAGTGAGAAAATCAACCTCCGACTGGAAAGATGCTTGCCTGGATGTGAATAATTCACTTCGGCGTCATCTCATTGAAGATAATTATGTTCTATTGAACGTTTATCTATGTCAACAAAAATAGTCAAACAAAAACAAATGTGACATATTATTTGTTTAAACTTGTTCGCAAGCTTCTCTGCTAACGGATGAAGTATGTTTAATTTTGAATTTGTTACCTACATTTCAATTGCATCACTCAAATTTGTATAGACGAACAGCATCAATCGAAAATCCGCCAGATGACTTTAATGTTTGTATGAGACAATGGAAAGAAAATGAAGAACATGGCTCACATATTTTTTATAACAGTTGGGAACAATTTCAGCATATGATGATTTTATTTCATAAATTCGTTTTATCGAAGAGGCAATGATTTATTCAATTCGAGTGTAACGCGAATAAAGTTCATTACTGAAGGAGGAACCTCCGATTTTAATTCGAGATTTTCGAACTGAATAGAAACACAACTCATTTATTGCAGTCAAAAATTGGTTGTTTTCTGTGAGGTGAGTCTGGTCTGATTTAGATGTGTGGTAGTTACTCTTCTCATTTACCCACCCTCACAGCCTCCTCAATTAAATTTCGATGTTTCAAAGAAAAAGAGAAAATTCAATGTCATTAATAAAAATGATCAACTATTAAAAGTTTTTCTTTAGTGCAAAGAGAAATAGTTTCATCAATTGATTTATTAATTGTTTCAGATTGAGAAAAGAATGAAAATTTTCCAACGAACTGGCCAATAGATTTTTCGATATTTGATTTCTTGAGAAAAACCTTGCCAATGAATAAATTGTCTATTGTTTGCAAATGAATGTATTCGCTTTATCTCTTTTATTATTGAGATTGAAATGAAATGTTATAATGATTGTTCTGCTTTGAATGAGAGAAGAAATTTGTTTTGTTTATCAGTGAAATGATTCTTTTTTCGGT